AATTTTTTTATGTTTATTTTAATTGTTTAACAACGTTTTCACAAGTAAATCATGGACCCAACTTTAGGGACACATTTCTTTTCTATGTTCCTAACTTTGGCCCATGAAATTCATTTGACAGCATATAGCAATAAGAGTAACGTCAACAATGTGGTTTGCATTTGGATGATAAGGAACGAACAGGAAGGGAGATTTTTTCTGCCAAATCTGTATAATGAACATCACAATGTTTTGATTTAGATATTCTGCGGTCGAAAGACGATAAGCGAAATTTTTAATTTTTAATTTTTAACTTGAGTGATTTAATGTAGTTTTTGTAAAATTTTCTCTAAGAAATGTTTTGAGGAATGAAGAGTATTAAGTTAACAGTGATAGTGATAAAAAAAATACATAAGAAAACGTTACCAAGAGCGTTTTTTTTGAGAATCAAACAGGATAGGACGAAGTTGCATCCATAAATAGACCCAATTTGGGGACAATAGACCGATATTACATACATTTCCCTGGTGAGTTTTTGTCTTAAAAAAAGTAAGTTTTTCAACTTTTTGCGGTTCCTGATAGCAAACGACATGATAAGCATATCTAAGCATACCATTTAGCAGTAGAATATCGTTTGCAGGTAAATTAATTGATGAGTTATGATTAAAAACGTAATCTATGGCTGCATATTAGACCGAGGTTAGGGACGTATACCCTAGATTAAATTCCGAAAATATTGCAATTTTTGTTCATTCACAGACTCTACCTGTGGGTAGAATTTCATTAACTTCTGAATCACTTTGGCCCAAACCTGATAAAAATCCCCATTTTAATATACGTGAGAATTTGAAGAAATGATCAACGGTGGTCAAACTTAGTGTAACGGACATGTTCCGGGTTCCCCCGGGGAAGTGGCCAGCATCTTCATTGCATCATGTGATACATTAAATTTCATTAGAATCCGATAATAACACTCAGAGTTCAATCTCACCTTTGGTGGATAAATTCAGATTTTTAACCTGAGAACTATTTTTTTGCTCTATTCCCTCCAAGAACTAATATTGAGTGTCTAAAATTGCATTGTAACATAAAACAGACACCATAGCTATTAAGTTTTTAATATTATACGAGAATGTCGCCGGTGTCCAAAATAAGGTTGAAAACTAAAAATAAATATCGCGTAAAAACTGAATTGATTATATGATTAATCTTGAGAAACAACTATTAACAAAATATATTGCTGGATGATGTAAAAGTATCATATTCTTTTCATCACCGCTGGCCATTGGCCAGCGGGGCAAACGACTGGGTAATGCGTACCACCAGTACCGCGAGTACTTGAAGGATAAAATAGACCCCATTAGTGGTCCATTAGCCTCTTACCCAGTAACTCCTATCCCTACCTCCTCGTGGTGTCTCCTGGGATATGAGCAACCTTAGCGAAGATCGGGTAACCAACCCCGGTGGGAGCTTTGGTCATATGCTGACAGGGAAGGGGGCCCCTAGCGGGTTCGGCCTACACGGCCTGAGCGTCTGTTCACCATGGAGGTGCGGCTCAAACAGCGTCTGACTGGCATCCAGCGGCTGAATAAGAAATGCTGTATTGTGTCAGCTAAATCTAAGATGGCAGCCCCATCTACACAATAACTGAGCGTCTGTCCACCATGGAGGTGCGGCTCAAACAGCGTCTGCCTGGCATCCAGCGGCTGAAACAAGAAATGCTTATCCCCGAAAGCTATACCCAAGATGGCAGCCCCATCACGGCGGATAGGAGACCTTAGGCTAACTACCTACTGTCCCCGAAACTTTACAACTGTTACAGAAACCAATAGAGAAAGATCACGGACTGATATTACGGCAACGACTTTTAGCGCAAAACAACGGACAAGAATTGGAACATGGAATGTACTAACGCTAGCCCAACAGGGGAAGCTGGCACAACTCGCCAGCGAGGCTCGACGCATGAAGCTCGAAATCCTGGGACTAAGCGAAGTCCGTTGGCCAAACTTTGGAGAACACAAGCTGCCGTCGGGACAGGTACTACTCTATTCTGGTATTCGAGGTGAAAACGCTCCCCGCCACCGTGGAGTTGGTTTCCTGCTTAGCGCCCAAGCAAATGCGGCGCTCATCAAGTGGGAACCTATCAATGAGAGGATAATCGTTGCCAGATTCAGAACGCGGGTTCGTAACCTAACCATAATCCAATGTTATGCGCCAACCGATGCTGCCGAGTTACAGGACAAAGAGAACTTTTACAGTCAACTGAATGCAGTCGTGGATAAAATTCCGAGAGGTGACATCAAGATCTACATCGGCGACTTCAATGCGAAGATCGGCTCCGACAACACGGATTATGAGCGTGTCATGGGGCGCCATGGTCTTGGCGAAATGAGCGAAAACGGTGAGCTGTTGGCAGAGTTTTGTGGCAATAACGACATGGTGATCGGGGGTTCGCTCTTCCCCCATCGACCAGTGCACAAAGTCACGTGGGTTTCCCGTGATGGACATACCGAAAATCAAATCGACCACATCTGCATCAGCCGAAAATGGAGAAGGAGCCTTCTTGACGTTCGGAACAAACGCAGTGCCGACATCGCGTCTGACCACCATCTCCTCGTTGGAGAGATCCGCCTTCGTATCGCGCGGGTCCAGCGGCGGGAGGAGCGGCTCGGACGGCGATTCAACACACGCCGATTGGAAGATCCAGCAGTAAAAAGGTCATTCGTCGAGGAACTGGAGACCAGAGCTGCGGATATTCCTGATGGTGGCAGCGTAGAAGAGCAATGGACGGCGATCAAGGATGCCTTTACTGAAACGAGTGAAAACAACCTGGGCGAGCTGCGCGCTCAGAGAAAGGAGTGGATCACGGATGACACCTGGAGGAAGATAGAGGAGCGGAGAAATGCAAAAGCCGCGATAGAGCGGGCGAGAACCAGAGGAGCGAAGAACCAGGCCCGCCAACTGTATTCGGCTCTCGAGAAGGAAGTGAAGCGCTCGTGTAGGCGGGATAAGCGAGCGTGGGTGGACTCCCTAGCCGATGAAGGTGAGAAAGCCGCAGCAACAGGCGATATCCGTCTCCTCTACGATATCTCACGACGCCTGAGTGGAGCAAGGATGAATCCTAGGATGCCAGTGAAGGACGCGACTGGTCAGTTGCTCACCGACCCCACTGATCAGCTGAAACGCTGGTTTGAACACTTCGAACAGCTTCTACAAGTTTCGTCGGTCAACCAGCCATCAACATCTCGGCATGAACCGCCAAGAGTGCGACGCATCACTCGCGTCAATTCTGAGGCGCCATCCCTACCGGAGATCGAAGCTGCTATCCGAACCATGAAATCCAACAAGGCTCCCGGGGTCGATCGCATATCAGCAGAGATGCTCAAAGCTGACCCCATGCTATCTGCACAAATGTTGCATCAACTATTCTGCAATATCTGGGACACCGCGACTTTTCCGGCTGACTGGATGCAGGGCGTCTTAGTGAAGGTCCCAAAGAAGGGGGACCCAACTGTATGCGATAACTGGCGTGGCATTATGTTACTGTGTTGTGTTCTCAAAGTTCTATGCAAAGTTATCCTCAACCGGATACAGGAGAAGATCGACGCGACTCTCCGACGGCAGCAGGCGGGATTCCGTGCTGGAAGATCCTGTGTGGACCATATTGTCTCGCTCCGCATAATCTTGGAGCAGGTCAACGAATTCCAAGAGTCCCTTTACTTGGTTTTCATTGACTACGAAAAAGCTTTCGACCGACTCAACCACGAAAACCTGTGGGGCGCCCTAAGGCGCAAGGGAGTTCCGGATAAAATCGTCAACCTCATCGAAGCTCAGTATGAGGCTTTCACGTGCAGGGTGCTGCACAACGGAGCCCTATCTGACCCTATTCGGGTAGTCGCTGGAGTGAGGCAAGGATGTATTCTATCACCGCTACTGTTCCTCATCGTAATCGACGAGATAATGGTTGGTGCGATCGACCGTGTGCCGAACCGTGTGTTGCTCTGGCAGCCTATTACAATGGAGCATCTAAACGACCTAGATTTGGCGGATGACGTTGCTTTAGTATCACAACGGCGTTCTGACATGCAGAGTAAGCTCGACGATCTCGCCGAACGCTCCTCAGCGGCAGGTCTCAACATCAACGTCAGCAAGACTAAATCGTTGGATATCAACACGGGAAATCCATCCAATTTTACGGTAGCTGGTCAGGAAGTGGAGAAGGTTGAAAGTTTCCAATATCTTGGCAGCCAGATAGCGTCGGACGGCGGAACCAAGAGTGACATAGGTGCACGGATCAAGAAGGCAAGGGCTGCTTTTGCGAGTTTACGAAACATCTGGAAGTCAAATCAGATTAGTCTCCGCACGAAGATCCGAATTTTCAACTCTAACGTGAAATCTGTACTGCTGTACGCTAGCGAAACATGGTGCGTATCAGCGGAGATCACACAGAAGCTGCAGGTGTTCATCAACCGATGCCTGCGGTATATAATTCGTGCTTGGTGGCCTCACAACTGGATTTCGAATGCCGAGCTCCATCGACGGTGTCACCAGAAGCCGATATCGACAGAAATTCGGGAACGTAAGTGGAGGTGGGTTGGCCACACTCTACGGAAGAGCGGAAATGAAATCTGCAAACAAGCGCTGGATTGGAATCCAGCCGGACATCGCAGCAGAGGCAGACCCAGGGGCTCATGGCGGCGAAGCCTAAACAAGGAGATTAAGCAAGTCGACCGGAATTTGACCTGGGCCCAGGTCAAGGCGAAAGCAAACAATCGCCCAGGATGGAGATCTTTCACGTTGGCCCTTTGCGCCAGGGATGGCGCTCAGGACACTTAAGTAAGTAAATCCTCCCACCTAAAAAAAAACCACCCCCCCTACGCTCAATCCGCGCTTCGCCTGTGCTGATTTGATAAATCAGCACCGTAATTGTCACAAACATACGCCGTCGCATCGAAATAAATCCGGCTTCCAAAAGCTGTAGAACAACAATATCCCGCTTTTCCCACCCATATCATACTTACCACCGTATTCCGCACGCCCGCAATCTGACTGAGCCCGAAGCGGGGACTAACCAACAGGACCCGTTCCACGCCGTCGCGCTGATTGGTGCTGAAACATTTCGCACCGTAGCTCGGCAGCCCGGAGATTATATCCAGATAATGAATTTTCGCCTGATGGTTCGCCGGAATAAAAATAATAAAAAAAAAAATAAAATAGAAAAGAGAGAGAGACAAAAGGTATTCGAATCCGTTAGCGAGAATTCATAGCGGCGGAACAAACAAACTGGCAAACAAGAATTAACATTATTTGGAAAGTTTTCCCGACTGCAGGCAGCCGTCCGGGTGCGAAGCTGGGCCGTCGCCGGTGACTCACCTGTAGTTGCGTCAACATCTTCGTCGATGAGCCCGTCATCTGGGAGTTCAGCTTGAGAAAATGCCCCAGCAGGCGGCGGAGTTCCTTGCGTTTCATACCATCGATCAAGGAAGCAGGCACAAAGCGATCCAGTCCAAACTCTCGTCTGAAATGAGCGGTGGGAGGAAGATTTGTTCTGCATGAGATATGTATCGGGAATATATGATCTTTCATGGATAGATGGCGGTAGATTTTGTAAATGTTTATTATAATAAGTTTTTTGTGAATCTGGTAAAAATTTCCAAAATGTTTTAGGCAGTTTTTAACTCGTTTTACCATCATTCTAATTTTATTTTATTTTTGAGTTGTTACCCAAATAAAGTTACTTATCTGTGTGTGTATGCATTCCAACCATAAGAATGTGTAATGGCGAACGTAATAGTTTATTTCACAGTGCTGTGATAAATATTTGATAAATTAAGTGTTATGAATTGATCCTACGCGTGCCCCGTAGTGATCATTTAGTGTATAAGTAGGAGAACGGTTGCTGCTGCAGCTGGTTCTCGTTCAATTTGTGTTGCATGTAAAGTTTATGTGTATAGGTGGATAGATATGGCAGAGTGTGCAATATGTAATTTGGGGATTTTGGTAAGTGATTTGCCGGTTATATTGTCTGTCAGATCAGCGCTGCGACGAGCAGCATTTATCCTAAGAGAAGAGGTGACAATACGGGGGCGAAAATGAACCACTTTTCTGTCAAACGTGAACCATCTCCTGATTGGCCGATTTCATGTGCGTAAGATAGAGATAGAGATAGATAAAGATAGAGATAGATAAAGATAGAGATAGAGATAGAAATAAAAGAGGAAGAAGCCAATTGTCACCTCTTCCTCTTGGCATTTATCGGTTTCGGATACAAAAATGATGGGGAAAGCCATGAAGCAATTGTCTTCTGTTGCTGACTCTATCATTGGCATACGAAACAACGTTGCCGCTCAGATAGACAACGCGTTGAGAATTGGGATGGAAAAAATGCAACAAAATATGAATGATTCATTAAGTTGCTTTGAAAAATTAATTAGTGAGAAATGGAATACGATGACTACCTTGTTCCATACGATTGAACTTGGTAATCTTAAATGTCATGATGGAGGTTTTACCAAATCTCCCTCTGAAACTTTAAATTTAATGATGGAAACACATTTTCCAGGTTCGGTATTGTGTGTGGAATTAGATATTTCTGATTCTGTTGGTGAAATGTGTTCTATAGAGACTTCGCCGGTGTCTCAGAGAACAGAAAACACCATACCAGATATAGCTGATGAAATTTTCACAATTACCAGAGTGAAGAATGCTGTGAGATCTTTTCAGCCTTTTAAATCTGCGGGTGTGGATGGCATATTCCCGGCACTACTTCAAAACGGTGAAGCAATGCTGATTCCGTCTCTAACTAAGATTTATAAGGCGAGTTTAAGATTAAACTACATTCCATCAAAATGGAGATTGGTAAGAGTTATATTCATACCGAAAAACGGGCTTGATAAAACGCAGCCAAAAGCATTTAGGCCCATTAGTCTCTCATCATTTTTACTGAAGACTATGGAAAAGGTGTTGAATGACTTCATCAATTCAACTTACATGTTAACGCATCCAATATCAAATTTTCAGTTTGCATATCAATCTGGAAAATCAACAGCTACTGCTCTCCATACTTAGGTAACTAAAATCGAAAAATCACTTTCAGTTAAAGAAATCGCACTTGGTTCTTTCTTGGATATTGAAGGAGCTTTTGACAACGCATCCTATTCTTCTATGGTTGACGGCATGAAGAAAAGGAACTTCGACACGCACATCGTCAATTGGATTCATACTATGCTTGCAAAAAGAAAAGTCACTTCTGGGCTGGGAAGCTCATCTATAACAGTAAAGGCAACGAAAGGCTGTCCTCAAGGAGGATCCTCTCACCACTAATGTGGTCTTTAGTTGTAGATGATCTTCTAAGAAGCCTATATTACACGAAATTATGAACACAGAACAACACGCACACAACACAGAAAGTGGCAAATAAAAGCATTTAAAGAAAAGTGAAAGTTCTTCGTTTTTGTATCGCGAAACCCTCTGATTACCCGGTAGCTAGCCGACCCTGGGTGTTCCGGAGCTTGCTCTTGTCGCCTGAGTCGACCGGGTGCTGTATGTTTGATCTCCGAGTAGGTAGTTGGTGAGTGCTGAGTTCTTACATCAGTTATACTTGGCGCCCAACTAAAAGTCCGCGAAAGGTAATCAAGGGTCCGTCGTAGTATACAAAAATCTAAGGATTTTTCCGACGGGAGGTGGCAGAGATCCGTGCTTGCACGTATGTTTGTCTCCACTTCACTTTTTAGCACTTTGGTGAAATTTTTGCGAAACTTGAAGTGCTTTTCATTAAAAGAGGTCCTGAACCCAATTTGCTACCGATTGTTGTTTTTCTCATTGCAAATTCGTTGATGTTGGTTATTTTTGTTTTTTTCCGCGAGTCGTGTATGTGTAAAAAAAATCATAAATCATAATTGAACTTTATTTATTTCATGTCCAATCATCACGACAACAATCGCGCACTATTTGTAATGATGTTTATCACTGTTTGTTTTGATCCGCATACGTGATGTTTTTATACAATTTTATTTTAACCCACTACCCACACCACTGATTCTCCACAACAATGACACGCAAGAAACTAGCAAAGGTTCAAACAAATTATGAGCCAATTACCTGGCAAGCAGAGGAGTACGATGCAGATGATTCGGACCTGGAGGAATCACTTGGGATTCCTAGGCCGCTCCCAAATTCACATCCCAACTATCCGCTAGAGGAGTTGGAACTGGACCTCAAAGAAACTCTGATTACATTTAGAAATCAGAGGACAGAAGGCCGCCTCATGCCATAAGACGTTAGTAAACTTAAACGAATTATGAACCTGTTTTTGCGTAACATGAACATCGTCGCTAGTGACATTAATTCACGATTTTTACCCCCTAGCGCGACATGCGAATACAGGGAACCCGAGTCGGACCCGGAATCAGATATTGTGCTGATAGTTCCCAGCTCTGACTCGGATCAAGATTTAGATCCGTCCTCCAGCGAATCCGATTCAGATTCGGATGACCTGCTTCAGGTCAAAAAGGGAACGTACAGAAGCCCCATGTCACGCAATAGTTCCGGCTTTTACAGTCAGGAAAACACCAGTAAGTCGAAGCTTCCTTCTTCGAACTGTCCTCGCGACTTACCTGGTAAAGCTTTCCAAACTTCAAACTCACTAACTTCGAACCCCGAATCCCAAAGAAAGCAAACCCGATCTTTTAAGATCAGGAAAAAGGCCACAAAGTATAATCAAGAGCAACCTACGGCCAAAGAACTGTGCAGTAAATTTATATCAATTTTGGAACTTGAACATTCTAGGAATATTCCGCGTTCCGGATGCACACCTGGAACCCAAACCCATTCTTTCAAACATCACAAAAAGAAAAACAAATCGTTCTGAACCTATACAATTTAGAAACATATATTTTCTCTTTTTTATTCCTAGGTACATTCCACTCACAAGTCCGTCATCCAGTGTCGTGTGGGAATTACTTTTTGTCCCCAGTCACAAGGGCTAACGTCGGTTTGTGTCGGATGAAAAATAACCTAGAATATAAAAAAGAGAAAGTAAATTTTTATCAATTTTTAACACCGAAGGACTATTGTGTTAATTTGTTAAGGAGAATCGTTGATTTGGTTAGTCTATACCTGTCCAAGTTGGACTGAGGGATTAAGGAATTCGGTCAGTCATTAAACGGAAGGATAGCTCACAATTTGGGAATGGATCATACTTACCTGATCTATTTCGGGGATCCACCGGCATTGGCAGAATCGGTAGACGAAGAGGGATGACTTCTTGCCCTCATCTACGACCTGTCCAAATGTCGGGGTGGAACAACCCCATGTTTTAATCAGCCTAGTTAAAATCAAACATTCAATCATTATTTGACTATATGTTTTAGTATTACTTCTACGTGAAGTCAACGATTTACATAGTTGAAGATGCTAATTTCAAATAACAGACTGTAGTGGTAATTTGTATACGATAGATGGAGTAGATGAAAGCATAGAGTTGATAGTTCCGTTAGAGTACGGCAGTGTGAAGATTGCATATAGATATTAGAATAGAGAGCTAGGACAACTTTTAAGGAAGGTACAAATCGGTTTTTTTCATCTCTCTTTACCAAACTCCCCCTTTGGAGAGGGATGGTGAGGGGTGTCTCTCCCCCCCCCCCCCCCGCCACCACTGGCAAAAAGATATGAAAACCGACCCGCTCAAGTACCAACTGTGTAGCAGCACCTACCCCACCCGTGTCCCCTCGAGATCATCAAGTCAACGATGACAGGAGCACATATCGTGGTAGGGGTAAACAATAGTTGCAATTTCCAAACCTACGACTGGATGCCTTCTTTCAAATAACAACTGAAGTGCGGTAAAAAATCGGTAGAACTGTTCCAAACACACAGTTGGTACATGAGCGGGTCGGTTTTCATCTCTTTTTGCCAGTGGTGGCGGGGGGGGGGGGGGACACCCCTCACCATCCCTCTCCAAAGGGGGAGTTTGGTAAAGAGAGATGAAAAAACCGATTTGTACCTTCCTTAAAAGTTGTCCTAGCTCTCTATTCTAATATCTATATGCAATCTTCACACTGCCGTACTCTAACGGAACTATCAACTCTATGCTTTCATCTACTCCATCTATCGTATAAAAATTACCACTACAGTCTGTTATTTGAAATTAGCATCTTCAACTATTCAATCATTGTTGATTGATTTTAATGTGTACACTTTACTTACCTGAATGCATCTTGCACCGTCAAGATGGCTTTCACGGTATCCCGGGAATTATTGGGTTGACTATGGGCCAATCTTTCGAGCAAAATACGTGAGCTCTCCTAAAAAAACACACACACATACAAACGAAGTCAATACTCGTTATGCTATATACGTACGTACTACTTACCGAAACGTTTCGTCCAAATTTGGCCACTTTTATAAATTTAATCACTTCAATGTTTTCCCGATTTCACACTGTTACGCATAAAGTAAATAAACAATCAAAACAATAGATATGCTGTGACAGTTGCAATTGATACAATACGAAATGTC